TGTGTTTTGGAACAGGGAAAAGTAACAGCAGAAACTGAAGGAGGATGGTTGGAAGTGCAGGTGGAAGAATAATTTATAATGGATAATTTATTCAATATTTTTTTTCCTCTCATCTCTTCAGAAATTATTCTACAACAGATTGCTGTTTTCTCAAATTCGCTTGTTACGTGAAATTATTTACTGAACAATTCTTTTAAGTTGTTTGTGAATTTAAATTGTAGAACGGTGGTATGCTTTTGATTTGATAAAAAAAGCTCCACAGAGCCCACTTTGTTGACCTGACTGGAGGGATGCTGCCTTCTCTGGTCCCCATCTGCTTCCACAGAGCTCCATGAAGGCTTGAGTTCTTCTCCAGTGGAGCAGCTTCCCAGAGAGGAGCTAAATGAGCATGTTTGGCACCAAGCCCAAATTTCTAACCATGTTGTTTCTTAATGTTCTGCCAACCCAGGGGGGAAAATGCTCTTTTAACCTTTCATGACAGTGACCCGAAAAGTCTTCTACCTGAAAGGCTGTTTATTTTTCCATCCATTTCATCTGCTCTGACAGAACTGTAATCTCCCCTTCCCCAGCCTGTGCTTTCTGAAGCCCTTTAGCCTCTGCAGCCACAGCCACTCCATTTCTGATCACTCTTCTCTCCTTCATCAACCCTTTCCGCTTACCATGAATAATGGTTTGTGAGGTGTCTGATACCCTTGGGGGACTAGATACTGGTTTGAGTTGTGTGTAGGAGCTACTGAACATGCTGATCCCGGAGAACGCATTTGAATAAGAAGTTTTCCCTCCTTGTCAACTGAACTAAAGTTGTTCCTTCCCTTATGGTACAATATGAGGAGAAGATGCTGTAGCGGAGGCACTAGCCATGTGGCTAGCCCACGTGCCAGGTGGATATTTTGTCACCATGCCATCAGCACTCATGTCCCCTTCCCCTAGAAACAAGAACAGTTATGCCCGTGCAGGCCTGAGGGTGAACCTGATTTTCAGCAGTGGTAGTGAGGGGTAGAAAGCTTTTCCTGTGTATGTGCATTAATGATCTGTCTGCAGAATGTGCCAGTTGCTTTCCTTTGCGTAGGTTGGTAAGAGATCAATTAGAGCAAGAAAGTTCACAGACCACTTAAGAAGCAATATTCCCCTTTTATCTCATCTTCTTCTCAGGTTTCTACCCTTTTACAGCTGTGTGTCTGCTGTGCTAAATGCTAATGTGAAAGTACTTTATCCACTGCCAAGCAGACATTCTTGTGGAAATGAATTCTCCCTTCTCACATTAGTCTCCCACTTTCTCACCTCTCTACCTGGTTGATAGGATCCTCCCTTGGCATTTAGGGGCAATCCTTGAGGTACTTGTCCAGCCACCCACGTCTGTAGGCAGCCTGATGCTGCCCAGTTCAGAGCAGGTTTGCTGCAGTCACTTTATTCTTCCAGGGAGGCAAGGAATTAGTCTTTTTTGATCACAAAAAGGTATAAGTGTCTGGTATTCTATCAGCAGCTTAAATGACTGAATAGACTTTGCTGGATAAAATATTCATCAGGTTTTTGTTTTGTTTAGTTTTTTCTCCTTTCAGTTATTCACATTTGTTTGTGATTTCCTTCTGCCCTTTTAAACTAGCTCTTCTTGGTGATTATTGGTCTAATTGTATCTAGACTATTTAGTTTCTTATATTGAGCTCATTGCTGTGGTGTCTGAACATCAGATCAATGCCATATAATTACAGTCACACAGAGCACAATCAACAATTATCAGTGATCACTTTCAGATCTTGCAACAAAGAAATGCTACCTGAGACATTGCTGCAGGATTTCAGATTTCCAAATATTTGCACTTCTAATTAAGCAGATGGAAAACCTGCTGGTAATGAGAAAGCAGGTTTCAGAACTTCTTCCGTAGCTAATTTCTGCCCAGACCAAAATAAATTATGCTGCAACAATTCTTTTCCAAGGTAAATAACACACCACTTGGCAAAGTGCCTCACAACAACAAAAAAACCCAGAGAAGTGTTTAAAGGTATTGCACTCAGTGGGAGATTTTCACACCACAGTAATAAATGCAACACAGCAAAAACCTACAGCTAGCGGAAGGGAATGCTTTCTTATCTAACAGTTCTGGAGGATATTTGCTGATCAATCCTATGAAAGGATGATATGCTTCTGTGTGTGTCCAGGGCATGAAATAACAAGCCTGAAGGCAATAATGCTCTCATATCATGTTTGAGAATTTTACAAATACAGCATGAGGCTCTGTGACTCAGTCTGAATGGAATTTTTCTTAGCACATGAATTTTACATGATATTTCGATACTACCTCTTTTGGGCACTTTTCCTAACACAGTGCAATGTTAGTTTTTTGGTGCTTTTTTATCATATTAGTAAATACCACGACACAGTTTGTGAAAGGTGTGAGGAAAGCAAGCAAACCTGAAAATTTGAAAATTACAAGGGCATTTGATTTGTCTTTCTAAAAGCTTCCCAAGGTTTTTGTTTGTTTGTTTGGGGTTCTTTGTCTTTTGTTTTGTTGTTTAGAAGGTAAAAATTAAAAGCACCAAAGAAAATACAGAGCTTAGTGCAGTCTTCACATAAGTTTTGGGGTTTGTTTTCCATTTTATAATTATTTTTTTTTGTGCTCTGTCCTTAATATTTCAGTTTTGCCACTGGCTAAACAAATACCCTCATGTTCCAGATTAATTAAAAAAAAAGTAAAATCAAATAAATACTCCTTTTTTTTTTTAACAACAACAAAAAAGCATTCCTTTTTGTTGTTTCCAAATCTCTAAAAGCAACAATTCTTGTCATTATCAAATTTCCATATAGAAAACTCGTATGCATGTGGGGGTGTAATAGCACAATCTGATATTCTTGCAACACCGGTTTTCTATAAATAGGGAAATCTGTTATTTATCATTGAAACTATTCATTAAAATGAAAAAAAAAAATACACTATGGGCATCTGTTCCTAGATGTTTAGTTGACTGACAGTTTTTAATCCCTTTAGCTAATGCTAAGTTGCTGGAATCTCATCCTTTTCAAGAGATCTTTTCCACTTGGTCCTAATGTGTTTTTATGCCCTTTCTCATGATCTTTGGAAATTTATTTGTTTTTTTAAAGTTTGACTCCTAGAGTCAGGTGAGTACATGAAAATTGCAGCATTCATTTAAAAAAATAAAGGTTTTCACTGGATGGAAGAAAGCTGAAAATGAGACGCAGGCTTCAAAAGGATTTTAAGCAGAATACAATTGTTTTTTCTTTTTCTTTCTTTTTTTTTTTCAAAAAGACATAATTTTTAAGCCATTTTCATGACTTTACAGAGTCTAGTCGAAGGTTTTTGAATATTTGGATTTTGTAACAATTTTAATAACATGTTCTTTTTATATTTGCAGTACTGTTGAAATTTTACTGATCTATGCCATAGCATTACATTTTTTTATCTCTTTATGATAGGGGATACATCACTCCAGCATGCTTACCACCCTGTTGTTTTAAGCATAAAGCAGCCACTGTTGACAATGAAGGTATGTAAGGTCAATGTGCATTGGACACCTATGTGTTTGCATTGGTACTTTATCTCCACATCTTAAATCCTTATATTAATATTTTGTCTGGGATTCTCATTACTTTTGTCTCAAAAGAATATCCAATACCTCACCCAGTGGAGCAGCACTTACGTGGCAGACAAATCCAGGTGAAAACTGGCAAAATGTTATAGATCATTTTGATACCCTGCAATTATTTGTCACCTCTTGATACTTTTAAGGCTTCCATCCTACATTCGTCCTTTTAGTTTCTATAGTGAAGGTATCTAAAACTGCCTGGACTAATGCTGGTATTCACTGGTATGAAACTGCAGACAGACGGGGAGAGAATTTGTCCCTGTGCCTCTCTCCTGCTGATTTACGTGGATGGGGGTTTGATCACTTTCTGTTGTCAGCATTTGTTTTCTTTTCTACTTGCGGCATATCTTATGCGTAGAGTAATAAATAACGTAATTCCAGCTCTTATGGCTTCAGATGGCACAGTGCCCTCTGCTCGAACTCCTTGGAGAGAGAAACACTCCAGCTTACCGTCAGAGTTTCATTTGCAAGCTTTACTTTGCCTTAGCCTTATTTTAAAATTTTCAAAGCTTTGCCTCCACAAATCAGGTTAAACTGTACATTACAAGGGAACTGCTTGACCTTGAAGCAATCCTTTTTGAGGCAGAGGTGACGAAGGGGTTGGCAGGCGGGATTTATTGTGCTCTGAGGAATGCAGAGGAAGCACATGAACATAAATATACAGAGAAACAGGAGCGGGAACCGCAGATAGATCTGGCAGATAAGACTTGGGCCTGTACCTGTAACTAGGTCAAAAGTGTGATGGTATCATCTCCAATGGAAATACAATTCAAAACCTTGTTTGGATGGTATAGGATGCCAGACAAGCTTCACTGGACAGATAAAACATTATCACCATTATTCTGGTAAGACTCCAGAGTAAGTAGGATACTCAACATATATTATAGGCTTGAGAGGTTTGGGGCAAAATGTGTAAGGTAATTGGAAATATTGCACAGAAAACACTCTTACTGAACAGTGCCAGAGCTGTGAGGGGCTGCTGGATAAATGACTTAAAATGCTGTTCACTGAGGCTGGTGGCAGGGCTACGTACCTACTGAAAAATACGTGGATGTGAAACATCTGGCCTTACTGGTTCTTTTCTTGCCTTACCCTGGTTCTTGCTCCTCAAAGCAAGAGGAAGAAAAGAGAAGCAGAAAGGGTTGGACGTTGTTAGCTGGTAGTCTAACCCTAACAAAACAAAGTATGGGTCACAGTGGCCTACATTCATAAAAAAGGTGAGACTCTCCTTGTTAACGGTAAGTGGGAGATGTGCTAGCATGCACATTTAGGAAAGGAACCTGTATTTACTGGATATGATTTTCCAGTGCATTCCCTGGACTGCAGAGAAACACATCTGGCATTACTGTGATCAACTCTTTCAGTGAGTGCTCTAGGACTTCCTTGCTAGGATGTATGCAGTGAAAGTCAGAATGCTTTATTTTTATTTTTCCAGTAAGTTCTCGCTATTTAATAAGCTCTTGCCAGGTAAAAACCCCAAACAAGCTCTCCCCACTTCCATCCTGATTCCACCTCCATGTGCTGACAGCACACCTCTGCTTTCTGCAACTCTTTGATCCCTCTTTGGTCTACAGCTCTGTCATCCTTCTTTCAAGGTCTTCAAGTCTTCAGCTGGCCCAGAGAGAAAGGGGAACAAAAAAGCATACTGAAAACATTGAAAAAGAGGACTAGAGGAAAGAAATGAAGGGAGATGAGTAGGTGTGGGAAAAAGAGACAGAACAAGCACAGCTGAAGAGTCAGAACAGACTACATGTTTATTTTCTTTTAAAAGGTAAGTAGTTATGTTTTGAAAGACTCCTGCTGTTGTTCTTTCCAGCAGTAAAGCCTTTTATATGAGGGGTTTTTTTTTCATTTTCCTGAATCTTTTTTCATTTTAAAGAAAAAAAAAAATATTTAAAGGTTTTGGATGTCACCTTTCAGAATATGGTTGTTGGATTTTTGGACCCTTGGATGATAGTGTCTTATTATGTACATATTTGCATAATGAGTTAATGAGGCCTAATATGTGGTTAAAATTATCTACACTGCACTCTTTTTATAGAAAGTCTGCATAGTTTTCTGCTAAAGTGTCTCCTTAGACACCCTCTTGGGGGCCTGTTAGGATTCCCTGCCTGCTTTCAGATGTCACTAACTTCTGGCGATTAATTTCTGAGCTCTAATACATTATATATGCAGTTTATACATATAAACGCCTCTTACTCTGTAATTTTAGGATTATGTAATAATCTAATTTTATATTTATTAAAAAAGAGGAAACAAGAAATGCAAGCCTCCATGATTACAATGAAGAATTTGATGTCATCAAAATACATCCAACATGTACAGAAATTAAAGCAAACAAAGAAACCAACCACCCATCTTTGCTATTAATGGTGCACTGAACATAATGTCTTCTGTTAGTTCCTATGACAGTAATGTTTTCTGTCCTTCCCATTTGGAGATGCAATGCCACTGTAAGCGACATCCAAGCTCATGATGTTGTTTCTTACATCTATCCCCAGAACCAACCTAACATCTATTACTGTAGACCGGTTGTCCTCAGGGTTCACCATATTGATGCTCTTATTCTCCTCAAGCATGGTGAGGTTGATCTCTGACACTGTTTTCACTGGCCAAGACAGGATGCAACTGATTGCCTAATCTTTGGTATTAACCCTGCCCTTTGAAACTGGCTCTTCTTTGAGCAGAATACTAGGCCACAGACCTCTGGAGACCCCTTCATACCTCCTTTATTCTATAAGTCTTTCGTCATTTGTCCTGTGGTGTGACAGTGAATATTGATGCTCCAGCCATTTCAGCAATGGTTTATAGGAAGCAGACAGCAGACCTAGCTTCTCTGAACCAGAGCAAAAGCTTCTGTATCACAATTCCTTGTTCCTCTTAAGCATGGTGGTCTTTTTTTTTACCTTGGAACTCAACCTAGAACAGCAGATTTTATTGCCTTTTCAGATATTCAGGCTTATTCCATGTTTCTGACGACTTATGTAGGCATATTCCAACATCTCCCTTATGGCATTGCATTCCCAGTGGTCTCTGTGCCATGACTTTACATTACATGCACCTGTTATTATATTGCTTGCTCCAGGTGATGTGAGGAGAGCTGTGAGTAAGAGGAAATATCTTCAGATGTGTGACCCTTCTTCTTCCTGATCATACACCTTGCTAATTTCCTACCATCGCTTTCTCCCACAGGCATGTAAAGCTCTGTTTGAAAGCACTGGCCACTGCCCAAGACAAGATGCTAGACTAGGTGGAGTGACAGCCTAATACATTTAATCAAGATGTAGGTAAGAACTAAATCCAAAGTAGAATTTAGAAAGCAGCCCTAAAGGCACGTTTGCTGGTTTTTTCTCTACTAAAATCCAGAAAAGAAAAAAACTGCTTATAGTTAATTCTTAGTGTCCTCAGTGTTGTGCACAGCAGGAGAAACAAATGACTAGTAACCAATGCCAGTATGTGCCACAGAAGGACACAAGCACAAGTCTACATGTTGATTTATACAGCAGCCACTTTCCATAGGCCACTCTTCTGGCCTCAGAACCAATGGTGGATGAATCATGTTGTTTTAACACAGTGAAATAATTAAAAAAATATAAATTGGATTACAGTTTTCTTTAAACAGTATATCCTTGTAGTTATTAATAATAATAACTCCAAATCTGGAAGACATGTACATCTTCTAAATGAAATAATATAGACAAAAGCACTGGCTGTTGAGCAATAATCTATAGCTGCATAAAATTAAAGTATTTTCCATTCACCTTTGCATAAGTTACATTATGCCAACTTTAATTCACAGGCCCTTTATGGACAGATTAAAAAGTATGGTCATTGAAGTGTAGAGTTAGTTGTTTAGACAACCATAGAAAAATTTAACAAGTGGGATAGGAAGAGATAAAATATCAGATATTCTGCAATGGCCATGAGGAAAATGGATGATTTTTATATGCCTGCTATGTTTAATAGACTGTTCAAGATTTACAGATTTTACTCAACAAATTCTGACTGCTAGGTTTGAGGATCAGGAGGTTCTTTCCTAAAAATGGCATGGCTACTGGGTGAAGCAAAGGCTTTCCACTTTTCTAATTGGGAAGAAATCTAAAGATGAAAAAGAGGTGTGAAAGGTGTATAAATTGGGTAATACCATCAGAGTGTCTTGGGGAGGAGTACTCCATGGAGTTTCCATGGAAAGCAAATGCACTGTTGGCAGAATCAGCAGACAGTTGGAAAATTTCTGACAAAAGTGTTTTTCATTAAAATGTGTAGATGGATTGAGACAGACATCTCCTGCAGAATTGTGCCACTTCTGATCAAACTTCCAGTGCATAAGTTTCCCCAAAACAGAGTGGAATTATTTTGTCTCTTTTTCACACTGGGGTGATAGAAATGATTCTTCTTGGCCTCCTCAGCGCATATGCTATTAGGGCTTTTATCTGGTACAGGTTCCTGCTCTGCCTAATTCCCACCCCAGCTGTGAACTTTGATTGTCAGTTTCCTATTTGATTAAAAGCAGGTCTTCTGCCAGGGCAATTCCATGCTCCACTTCAAAAAGGTGGGAAGAAAGAAGTTCTATAGATCAGTGCTTATGCAGTTAGTGATGAATTTGAGTCCTTATTCTTGTTTCCTAGCTACTGCTATTATTATAGAAACCTAGGAGATTTCTAGTTTATCTCAGATATTCTTACCAGGCAGGAAAAGGATTATTTTTTGTCCATTAACACTTGAAGAAGTTCCAAAGACGTGCTGATTGAGCAGGATGTCCCAGTATCCCTTCCTCAGCCCTCTGTATAAAAGCATAATTATTCAAGAAAGTCTCTCCGTCCCCCTAGGTAAAGGAAGGGAAAGAGAATAATGTGACCATGTGGGTTTGGCTACACACATGCATCCCTATAGTTGTTTGAAACCATTCAGAAAATGCTTAAGAGAGATGGTGGTGTAGTGTCATCAACCGTATCACACAGAGACAACCCAGAAGAGACAATTTTGAAGGAAAAAACTGCAAGTAAGAAAAGCAGTTTTGCAGAAATCAACATGGAAACAGAACCTGCTATAATCATCCTGAAAGGGACAGATGTTGGCATTCCACCCTCAGCTCCTCTGGCCTATTACGTCTCTGAATGCTGAAGCTCACAATGCTTTTTTTCCTCCAATTTCAGAAGTGTCAGACAGGAAACACAGTGCCAGTGGAAAACCTTATACAGATCTCTTGTTAGCTAACTGCGGTGTTTTGTTCCACAGTTACATGTCTGCACAAGCCGTCATTGTGTCAGTCATAATTACCACCTATTCAGCACCTCCCTTCAGGTTTTATCACCTTTGCAGTATTAAGCAGCCAGCCGCAGGAAGCAAAGTCGGCTGCCCTGGAGCAGCAACCGTCAGACTCTGGATTTCAGGGTATAATTGCTGCATGAACACAAACATCTCCCTCCTGCCTGCACAAAACACCCAACCCATTCCTTTCTTTGGCAGAGATCAGAGCCCCATCAAATGCACGCTCTTCCCAGGATAGGAAAATAGACCCTATCTTCTGCAGGGGCAACTTAGCATGGGCTGGATGGGGGACTGTGCCACTGCATACCACCAGGTGAAAATGTAGCATTGTACTCCTTGGAAGGGGGCTCCACCTTTCCTGTAAGTCACTTTTTATCTCTTCTGTGAAAGACATGAACTATTTCTGGCATGGAAGTCTAACGATAGCATCCTATATATCCCTCTGATGTAGGAACTTCTCCAGAATAAAAATTTGGAGTACCCCTTTCTAAACTTGATTCACTCTTCAAGACCCATGCTTTGGTGGAAGGACAGGTAGATGAGTCCTTTTCTAGGTCAGCCAGGCATTATAAACGGAAATGCAAAACTAGGAGGCAGTTGCAGAGCATTCCTATCAAGCTGGTGCATGGTTTCAAATGTCAATTGCCTTTCCTCTCTTCCCATCCCATTTACTGTGTTTTATAAGTTCATCTTTGGCTATATGACCCAGACCAGCAGGCCTGCCAAGAATCACATTGCATTCTGTTAACTGCTTATGACTTCTGGACAGTGTGCCACTGTGATTGTCACACTCTTTCGCTTAAACGTATGGCGCATGGAGACACAAATTACTCCAGCAAGCAGCTTTCCATGATAGATTTTTGCATACCGATTGCAGATGCTGTTTGAGGCTGCTGAGATTGGTGTGGTCCAATCCTGGAAGCAGCAAAAAACCTGTATTCTGAGAAGTACCTGGCATGCTGGGTTTCTTAGGCTCAATTAGGAAAGCCAAAGGTGCTGTCAGATTTTCTCAATCTGATAGAAATGCTACCAACGTGGGGTAAGTATGAGTATCATGCTGGAGAGACAAGAATGACAATAAAAGCTTTAAAGTAGTGGCAGTAAGAAGTATTGAGACGCTAACTGAGGAGAAAAAGCTATTTCATTTTAATCAGGAACAAGGAGAAATTTAGAGATTCAGAAGTTCTGCCTGATTAAGGTGCCCCATTGTGACATTTGTAACATAGTTGTCAATACAGCATATTTAAGTAGGAAATTTTCTGAGGTCCTCCTTGCACATGAGGCATTCTGAGCTAACTTTGGGACCAAGTAGCTACAAGAAAACATGAAAGTGTTGACAATTAAAACTAATATTCAACAAAACCAATATTCAAATAAGTAAAAAGATAGCATAGAACCCTCGAACACCTGCAAATGTTCCTCCAAAGATGCACAATTCATTTATGTGCTGAGGGAAAGGGATGAAAAGTGCTCTTCTTTTCCTCTCTTCCTGTAAGCTGATTCTTCTTTGGTTTTGAGTCTGAATCAAAGAAAAATACATTGCATGACCTTCTTGCCACAAAATTCTGTACTGATATCCAACATTGACATAGCCTGATGAGGGTAAACAGGGTAATGATCATTGTCTCATCCTTTTGGTGAGGCAGAACATAGCATAAATTCGAATGAGGGAAAACCTGGAGGAGAAACAGGTTCTAATTTTGTAAAGACACATTGAACTCCTCAGACTCACATATTTTTCATCAGACTTGCTGGACTTGAATAGGTGCAAGTAATACAGTAATAAGAGCATCCAACTGCACCAAACTCTTTAATGAAGAAGAGTTAATCATAAATATTCAAGTAGAGAATCTGAGCAGCTGCTACACTTCACTAACACTGCTTTCACTTGTAATAGTATTTCATACTGCTCAACTGCATTGTAGTGCATTGACATCAGTGACGTTAGTTCTGGATCCACTGGAAGCTAGCTTGTGGGAAACCTCTAAAATTTCTTGGCATTTTAAGCTTCTGAAGTGCTGTGTTCCACCAGGATGTGTTGCGGTATGGAAAGAGGTAGGTATGTAAATGGTCACCAATGACACTATTATTCTTCATTTTCCTTGTCCTCTTGACGTACCTTCAGATTTGAAACTCTTTTCTTTCCTCAACTTCCTTGCTTACAACTGTATGTTTCTCTTGATTTCTTTGAAAAGTCCTTTAAACAAGTGTAGTTGAATTTCCTAATGTGACTGCAAAGAACTGTTCCTGTCTAAATTTACCTCTTCACAGCTGGCTGGTCTCCTGCCATCCATCCTATGTAAGTACAGTATTATCCCATTGTCCTACTTTGCTCCCAACAGGCTATGAGTGTTCATGAGTGTTATTTCTCTTGTTAGTGGACCGGAGTAGGAATTCACTCAGTACATTGATAGAAGTGGAATGGACTGGAAAAGAAAAAATTAGTGATTACCAATTGCCAAGATGCCCAACTAATCTAAGTACATTTTGTTGTTGAAACGACTTGAGCTAAGTATGGACTGGAATCCCAATTCTGAGTAATCTGGAGATGTAGGGAAGATCAAATCTAAATCAAGATTTTGTTACCTACTGTTTTCTTGAAACATATCAAATACACTCAAGAAAACAAAAAATACACATAAAAGTTCTCTAGCTTCTGTCATGGTACAGTAGGAAGCCGTAATTGAATATTTCCAAGGATCCTCTTAGCTGGTAGTTAATCTGGAGTAGATGGGATACATACCAAGAGCAGTGTTATAGTCTGGATGAACAGAAACTGTTTGGAAACAGCTGCTTGTTAGTGAGCCAAACCAAACATGGACACTGTGGGCTTGATGGTGTGTCGTAGCTGTGTTTTCACTGAAAGCTCACTAGGATGCTGTGTCAGACAAATGCGCTCCCATAGTACAGGTGGCAGGAAAGGTTTGGCCATATGGAGAGGTATTGCTTTTTCTGTCACTGCCAAAATCTGTACTAGATGCCCCACAAAACATAAAGATGATTTGCTACAGTCTGAGGGGCTTGTTAACTCTGTTGTACATAACATAATGAAAGCAAAAATGTTTTCCTTTGTCAGAAAGAGTGGTATTAAGAAAATGGTGGCCAGTATTAAGTGAATGATGCAGTTACATAAGGAAGGAGGTATAGGAAGGCATTATCAATACTGCGGCCAAGACAGAGTAAGTGCTTGTCACTGAACCTCTGCCCCCCCTATCTTCTCTGAGCATATCACCAGAAAGATCATGCCTATTGTCACTCTTACAATGAGTTATGCGACTCCCTCACTTTTGAACTGGGCTCTGGCCTATGATGCCCTCTGTGTCACTCACAGTTAAGCAGTAACTGAGTGAATTTGTATCTGCAGGCACAGCAATGAAGACAGTGACCTGCCAGCTTTTCAATTCTACCCCCAATCAAAGAGGGATTTATTTCCTGATAGGAGTGTAAAATTTAAAGAAAATGGAGTTTAAGGCTTTAGATAGTTGCTGGACATCATCCTGACTCTCAACTTAACTGCACACCAAAGACCCACCCAGATACCACTCATGTGGTACCACTGCACAACAGTTAACTTTCATCAGGGGCAGAAAGTCCATTTTTAAACCCTTTAGAATACATGGCAGGACTTTCCTGCTCAGCCAAAGCTGTCCAGGGAGCTGAAGGTTAGGTGGGATAATTTCCCAGAGCCCAGGCCTATGCCATTCCTTTATGCCCACCCCAGTGCCCTGAGGGGGGAGGTGGCTTGCCAGGAGCAAGTGAGAACACCTCACAGCCTCTCCATGTAGGTAGTATGAGTTTTCAGATTGGTAGATGTAAGCAGCATATTGTTGCTTGGCCCCAGACTGCATTGTTGTGTGTGTTGATTTAGCCCAAGTGAACTGCAGTTCCTCCAAATAAATATGTTCACTGATGCTATGACTAAACTGCTGGTGAGCTATGCCAGCACATGTACAAATGCTGTGATCTTTGGTACCAGTTACATCTGCGGCATCTCTAGACGTCATCTATACTGGGCATTACATTTAAACTACACATGAAAGACATTTGTGAAGCCTGTTTTCAAAAGCCACTAGAACTTCAGCAACTGATTTCTGTGCTAACATCACTGGTTCACTAAGGTATTTTAAAATGCTTAATCTAAATCCTTAAGACAATAATAGCCACATGGAGAGAATCCAAAAATAACACTGACAATGTGTGTTAATACCAGTTGAAAAATCTTAAGCTCTAGATTGCCTGTATACAGCTGTTTGGTGGCCACACCAGACAGGGCTGGTACCCAGACAGTGCAAGAAGCAACCTGCAGGCAATATGATGCCATGGCTTTCCAGAAGTGCAGCTTCCCATTGTTCTTATGTGTGTCTAGAAGCTTCTTGAGTAAGATCATGGATAGAAAAAGATATTTCCTCACAGCAGTCCACACAGGAAGCTTTAGATTGTGTTGCAGCCTGAGGGATGTTTTTGGCGTCCTCTGAGCCCTCCACAAAACAGCAGAAGGGAAAGACCTTGCTTGCCAGGACGGCTAGCTGCTCTGAGGGGGAAAGTTGTCTTGAGGTGGGAATATTGCTTCTGGTGATTAAATTACTTCACGTAGAGCTCCATAGCATGTCTCCACAGGGCACTGTGTAGGACCATGTGGATAGAGGTGTTTAGCAATGACAGTGTTTTCTGAATCAGCAACCACCCACTAGTTTAATCTAAGTAAGGAATCTAATTTCCTTACTAGACATAAACACAACCCAATTCTGGTTAGAATCAGCTAGGTGAAGTCTGAGCTCTTTTCTTCAACTCCATGGCATTTTCCTGTATTTCCCATAAAGCAGCTCAAATGTGGTACCTTTCCCAACCATTCCTGGGCTGGCAGTCATGCAAGAGATTTTCATGTGCTTGCAAAGTTTCCTTCTTCCATCTAGTTGGGAATATGAGGAAAACAGACTGTCTCAAACAGACGACTACTTTCCATTCTGACCAAAACCACTACATGGTGGGAAGATGGCATTTCCTCCGCTCACCTTAAAAATGGCTTTTTGAGAGCTCTGCTTCTGCAATGATTTGGATTCAGCTTGACTGAATTTACTTCTATAAGTTGTTCAAAGCAGGAATCCTTTATAGATGAGAAACAAAACACAGAATTTCATCTGTGGCGATAGTTCAGCCCTAGGAACAGCAATACGTTGTTTCTGAACATCATGGGACAAGGACAACACTGCTCTTATTCAGAGACCAGGGCAGAAGGAGCATTAATGCTGATGTCAAAAATGGGATACATCGGAATGGGAGTTCAGTTTCCTTCTCAAACACTCAACGCTATGGGTCTAATGGACTGGTCGAAAAACAAGTCTCCCAAACAAATCAAAAGGGAATTCAACCCAGTGCAATGGAACAAAGAAGTTCAAACAGTAAGTCTCACAAGCATTCAGTATCACAAGGTACAGTATACAGCAACAGCAAATACAACCGTAAATATACCTTCGCTCTGACCTCCCATGGAGGTGCGAGCACAGCACAGGAACAATGTTTAATTCTTCCTTGCTATTTTCTCTAACTTTAATTCACTGCAGTGCAATTCTGGAAGCTTAATGTAGTTTCATCATCCATGGCTGGAGCTAGAAAACAGGGCAAGTTATCAGAAGATACAGCAGGGAGATAACTAAAGGAAGTTTCATTTGGCACAAACTATCAGGAAATCCTCCCAAAATCGAGCCATCAAGGAAATGATGGAAGTACATGATTTTAATAAAAATGAACACATGCATATACCACAACACACACAAACACGAAAACACAGCCCCCTTCCATCCTCTAAAAGGCAGTTTGCTTTTTTATGGGGCTACTACAAATATTATAATGTATCCTGGCTCTAGTCCAATCCTCTGCAACTTCTGGCAGCCATTTTATATCATCCCTGTTGTAAGTTTCACTGTCCTGGGGATGTCTGTGCTTTGATTTTTATCTTGCCCTGATCCAAACCTGGCAGTCTGGTGCAGTTCAGGGGCTGCACCCACATCTGTTTGAGTGCAGCAGCTGGCACATCTGCCCCAAATGGGTCTTTCCTATTTATTGCCTGTGCTGTGGGAGTCCCCAGCAGCTGCCTCCTGAGGAGGGCTGTGCTCCCAGGGAGCAGATTGTGCTGCCAGCAGCTTCTACAGCAGAAGCAAGAGGCAACCCATGCCTGGGGACCAACAGGAGCAGTATATAGGGAAGATGGGGTGTAAGGTGGCAATTACAAGTAATAAGCTTGTAATGTGATTGCCTGTGGGCATTGAAATGGCTCCGATCTTTTGTGGGGTCTTAAGAGAGCTGAGTGCTCCCAGCCCTCCACACAGACCCCAAGGTCACCTTGCAGGCCCAACAGGCCCTGTCTTCATCTCCAGTTTGTCTGGATGTGTAATTTCTGGCACACTTCAGTGCATCTGATTGTTGTCACGATTAGAGAACGAGGACAAATTGCTGACAAAGATGGCCAAGTAAAAATGCACTTGGGTGTAATAGCAGTGGGAATATTTCAAACAGCTTCCTGTTGTACGTCTTCAAGAGAGATGGAAGCACTTGTGCAACCATATCACTGAATATGGATAGTGCTTACAAGTGCTGTGTAACGTGTCGACAACTCTGCACACATAAATATGTATTGTTTTTCAGGCACCACCCAGGCAAATAGAAACGTGGAGTTGTAATTTTAATTTCTTTTGCAATGTCTGAGCAAACTGCTACAAGACTTGTAAAGAAAAGCGGGAGTCCTAATGACTTAACCGGCAATTCAAGACAAAGCACCTCAGGTCTCTGAGCTCAGCTCCCTAAAACATTCCTATCTATTGCTCACATCCCACCAATTATTCACTTTTTTTTTTTTACAGCTATTAGCTCTTGAACTCCCTGGTTTGTTCTTTACCTCTTCTGGGTGACTTTTCAAAATTCAGATCATTCCAAAGTAAAAGCTTTAACCGTCCTTTAAACCAAGATTCCTCTTTCTTTCTGACATCAAGACTTCTCTCTTTGATAACTTCAAATGTTTCTCCCTCTCTGCAGTGAGTACTTAATTCTCACCAATGGTTTTGCTTTTCTATCTCACATAGCAGTAGCACCCTGAATGTCATTTATCTGTTTTGGCCATTGCTGCCTTCTTTGCCTTTTTTTTTTTTTTTTCCCTTTCAACTAAATTGATAAAAACAATGCCACTATTTGTTCAACATTGTTGTGGGGGATTTTGTTTTTCCTAATTATGTAAAAATACACTTGCTATTTAAACTCAATTAAAGCTTCCTTTATATGTTAGCAGAGCTGCACAACAGAGGTTTTCATCCTGTGCTCTGACTGTGAAACAAATAAAAGCCAAGCTTTTGCATCTCATAACCTTGAAGTTCTCTGAGTAGTTTCACCTCCAGGGCTGGGTAACTGAATGTTTTCAAGCTGCTTAGAGAGAAAA